ATTCCTGCAAACAGAAAAATTAGCCTGTAGGGAGCTGATCTGAAAATGAAGGTTTTAAAATGGAAGGTTAATTATGATAGCTAAATACATGTGATTCAACTAAAAACAAGTTCACATCATGAGTCTCATGGGACATTTTCCCTTTGAAAGAAACAAATGTAGCCAAAGGGTGGCTTGAATACAGGGGAACATCTGGTGTGGAAGGGCCTGTGGTGGTATGCAATGAGCAAGGGGACTCTCAGTCTTCACTTGTGTGATAGAAGGAAGTTCAAGACAGTCTTTGAATAAAGCCTCAAATGATACTTTGCACTGCTGATAAGTCACAAAGGTAAATCTTATGCTGAAATATCTTTCTTTGCTCGCGGCAAGCAGATAAGCCTCTCGCACTGCTGTGGAGAAGCAAAAGTTCATTCCCAGCATCTTCCTGGTCAGCCAGACTGGGAGCTCAGCAGGAGCAAAGTGTGCGGTGCCTGGGCTGGCCTCAAGTGTCACACGTCATTCAGCATCAATCTTTCAGGTCAACAAAGAGGCCTCCTCTGTCAGGCTCTGAATGGGATCCCATTTGCTCTGCACCAGCCAGGAGAAAGGTAGTTGTGACACAAGAGCTGCGAAGGGACATGAAGCGAGGATCAGTGAACAGGTCCAGGAGAGCACACCAGAACCCAGCACTCCTGGAACTGGAGATTACCACTACAGGCGGAGTGCAAAGCTCCTGGCTTCAGCAATCGCCTGGATGTACCAACGCATCTGCATGAAAGGGAGCTGGACTTTCTATGAGCTATTCACTGACAGGATCCCAAAACTTACCAAAAAAAAAAAAAAAAAGAAGAAGAAAAAGAAAAATTTTGCCACTATCTAATGAGGAATAGGAGTGAATTAACAAAATTGAAACCTCTGCCAATGAGAAAAGCCATCAAAACTTGTTCCTGTGAGCAAGGTACAACATTAAAGTCAGAAAACATTTACCCTCAAGCCACACAAGCCAGAGCCTTAAAATATTGGCAGAATTGGCTGCATGGAAGCCATGCTGATAGCCCTAGTTTTATATACCGAAGATGCCAAGTAAACACACAAGTCCTGACCAAACAAGTAGTGCACTGACAGCTCAGCTGAAAAAAAAAAAAAGAAACGAAAAAGAAAAAAACCACGAGGGATGTAATAAAACTCCAAGCAAAATGTGTTCCCAGCCAAAAAAACAAAACAAACCCCAGCAACTCAGGATAAAAAGACATTCACAGCCTCTGAATGCTTACTGAGATTAGACATAAAAGCCTCTTCAACTTATCTTGAGCTGTGCTTTCCTCTTAATGTCAAAGGGTGCCCTGCCTCATAGGGAGATGTTTATACCCTCTCATGGGAAGCCAGAGGCTTCAGATAAGGGAGTGCCTTTGGAAGGACAGAGCTTTGAAGGCTTGGGAAGATAGCCTTTATTATCAGCCAACCCTCTATTAGGTTGGTGAGATTCCTGTTTGATTTGGCTGCAGTCTCTAGCCTCAAGTTCCTGCCCTAGCTTTTAAAATAGAACAAGATCTCCCTGCTGCTGAAAAAGGGCAAAGGGTGGAACGTGTAAATAGCAGTTAAAACCAAAATCTTGTGTTAAAAAAAAGCCCTCCCCTAAAAGATACTCTGTGCTCTTCCCCAGTGACTGAGGTTGGCAGCTGACAAAGCCAAACGTGCCACACAAAACAGTTAAGTGAAACACGGCTTGACCAGTTATTTCAAACTGTGGAAGATGACACGGTCCTGACATCACCCTTCCTTGCTCTTGCGATTACAGGCAATTCAGTCAAAAGGACAGACCTCTGGACAGGGCCTCATGAGGGCTGGGGTCTGCCCTGGCTCCCTGCCAACCTGGGCGTTGCCTTGGAACAGCTCTGTTGCTCAGGTTGCCCACAGGTACAATGAGGGAATGTACAATGCAAAGTACAATGTACTTTACCCTTCTGAAGTATTTTTGAGACCTACACATAAGAAGTTCTGGATTGGGTACTATTATATATTTTTATTATCAGTAGTTTCTGTTCCACACGGGGTGGTAAGACTATGTGGAGAGAAAAAACAGCTAGGCAAACCAGACTTGATTTAGGGAATGAAAACCCCCTCATATCCTTTCTTACTGCATGTCAGACTATCACGGAAGAGCCCTGGCAGGTCTGCGCTTCAGAGTTGCTGAGCACACTCAGCTCCCATTAACTGCTTGTGTTTTGTGACCTTAGCTCATCTATTTCTCAGTCTTTCACTGTATTGTTACAAATCATGACTTCCTTGACTCTCAGAGTTTCAATCAATATAAAAATGTCGGATAGCATAACTGGACCCCTTTTTAATGCACACTAAAGTGATTTCATAACGTGATTTCATTTTTCAGAGAAAGAACAATCAGAAAAGCTATTATTGGAACAGGAAGAACTGGGTAATCGATCAAGGACACTAAAGGCAAAATTCTTTGAGTTTTGAGTAGCAGTTTTGGCTTTGCATTACACACAGGTGGTTTCTCTGACTTCCACACCACTTGCACGTGCTACAGAGCAAAACTCTTTCCAAAAAGCTAACTACATATACCACTAACCTAGGACAAAGTGGACTCATGGGAAGGTTAAATGTCTGTATCTGGGGAGAACAGTGACGTCATGGGAGTGTTTCAGCAGCTATAATTCCTTTCATATAGCATATGTGAATGACATCAGACTCCAGTCCAGTAGTTTGGGTCTCATTTAAAAGCAATTTCTGACAGATGGGATGAACCTAAGCTAATATCTTCAAGTATGCATAACTAAGTAGCACATCTTCAAGTATGATAACACCGGATAGAGATCTTGGAGAAGAACAATTAGCTGCAAGGTGTGAAATGGAATTAAACTACACAATTTTGAGGAATAAGTAAGGAATTCATATCGAAAACCATGCAAAACTCATGATGTTGATTCGAATCTGTATACCAACAGAAGATAAATGCAAAGACTGAGTCAAGACCCAGTTAGTCTTGCTTGCTCTGGAACCAAAACTGTGAAATGATAAGACGATGTGCTGCTTACATCTCTGCAAGTTTCCTCTCCATTAGTTCATGGCCAAATCCATCTGTGTTAGGAGCTGATGGGATTTTTCCATTTGAGATTTTTGTTAGGTTGCCTTTGGAAACTAGTTGCTTTCAGGAGCACATTAGGAGTGTCTGGGTGAACTGTTGTTCATTTGCATTATGTAATAGCTTGCAGTTTCAGAGTATTTTGCACTTTGCTCAGTTCTCTGAATTATCTGCAATATCCTCCACACTGCTCAAACTTGAGGCACAGAGACTAAACGGTACAAGCCACTGGAGAAGCCAGTGTCTGGGCAATCCTTATGTTTCTTGCTTTAACCACCTCTTGGACTATCCAAGCAAAATGTCTTTTGAAAAAATAATCAAATAGCTTAATTTTTGCTTAACTTAATCACTGACCTCAAGTTTTGCCCAAGGACTGGGTGAACACACCAAAGACCTCAACAGGGAATACAGACTGTTTTCTGTGATAGCAGAGTTCACTGTATTGTCCTGTTGGCCTGCTTCTTTTCAAGTTCACAGAGCTTTTGCTTCATAGGAAAGGAGGTTTTGTTTAGATAGAAAAGGTCATTGCACTGCACAGTTATTGTTATAATGCCCCTGATTTCAAAGTACTTCTCCTAAGCAAAATACCTTAAACAGTTTGCGTGTGAAACATGGAAATAAGCAAAGAAGCAGAACTAGATGTTATTGGGATAGACTAATCTGAGGTTAGAAGAGAAGGCTACTGCAAACAGGAATTAAGGTATGTAACAAGGGAGATTGGCACAACGCTCCTTGAACAGCTTGCTGAGAATCAAGCATGCCCAGATAAGCTCACTGAAACTGCAGAGTTCTCTCTCTGATTTTTTTAAGTGCTGTGGGGATGCTGTGGGGATGCTGTGGGGAGGATGAGGACTCGAAAGGAGACATAACTTTTCCTGAGAGAAAAGAAAACAAAGGTGAAGAATTTTGCAGAGCCAGGCATCTCCACATACATCAAAGTTCCTCAAGACAGGAGAAAGAGGCATTTTTCATCAAGTCTTACCTGTGATAAAATTAACAGGAGTTTGGACTTCACCGGAGCTAGGCTTTCCTTGTGGTCTCTGTTTGCAGGGACTCGCGTTGTCATGCCATTCGGCACAGAAGGCAGAGCCGAGGGCACAGACTGACTTCAATCAAGTTAGCTGAAAAAGTCAATGCAGAAGGTGACTCTACCTTGACGTGGCAGAGATAAACCTGATACCTTAGACACCGTCACACCGAGACAACTTAATGTCAATGTGTGCCTTAAAGCAGTGAAGGTTATGCAGGCAATTTGACACAGGCATACCTGCCATTCTTGCCAAATTGGAATGAGAAGAACAGCCTGTGATTTACACAAAGGGGAGACAAAACTGCTCAATGGCTAGAGGCAGCAAAGAGATCAAAGTTCTTAAACAGAACTAGCTATCACTATCAGATTGAGGATTTTTTCATTTCAGGAAACACTTAGAATATTAATTTCCAGCAAAATGTTGTTTTCAGAATTGTCTGACTATGAAATAAACACTGAATTAAAAATGAAATAAACACTAAATTGAAGTAGCTTCAGTTTTCTTGTCTTGTTTTGATTTGTTTTCCTTCCTCACTTTTCATCTTCTTTCCCTTTTTCAATGAGAAAACAGAAAAAAAAATTCATAGAGAGAGACAAACTGATGACATGTCAAGAAATCAAACATAACAGAAACCTGGACATTCTCTGTACAAATGTTAGCTAAATATTTTGAATTAAGAAAATGTTTATACTGCATGTAAAGGCCTTCAAAATTAAAACATATTTTCAAAATCATTTTTCTACCATCATTACTTCGCTACTTTATAAGCACTAAGATAACACTCTGAGTTTTACAAAGCATTTGTGACCATTTCCAGATATTCCAAACCAAAACCATCATCGTAACAGTTTCATCCTGAAGGTCTGAGTCTCTTTTGCAACCAAATGCATAACATGACTGTTTATTTCTTTTTCTCTCTCCAGCTACTCTTTTTAAGGACAACATAAGCAGGAGCACAGGGCTCACCGTGTTTCTGGTTCCTGCCCTGTGTCCCATGCTCAATGGCAACCAGAACAAAACTAGCACTTGCTACTGCCCTTCCAGGACAGTATTTTCAAGAGCTGATTGGGAGATAGGATTTGCTTCTTTAAACAACTAAATTTCTTATACTTGTGTGTTCCTTGAGAGTTTTTTAGTTCACCATGACAGCGAGGTTTTCACTTAACCTCAGGCTTCACAAATGTGGGGATTTTGGACAAACACATGCCAGGATTTTGACTCTGCTGATTCTCTCCAGGCTGGTGGAAAGGCAAGGTGGAAGAGCAATCAGTCAGAAAGACACACTTATTTTAGTCTCTCTTGCAGCTGATATCTGAGAAGATCATCTCAGTGAGGCCCTAAGGGCAACGGTGATTTTGATTTACTCCAGAAACTGCTTTCTTAGACAAGTTGCTTTCTTTAGAACAAATTCTTAAGTTATGAAGGCTCAGGGAAGGTTGTGACTTCCTGCCTCACTTGAACAAATGCTGTTCATGCTGTGTTTTTGAGTGTCCCCCCCAACCCTAGCAACACCACTTACAATTTCCTGCTG